TCCACGATTCCATTCTCCCCTAGGTAACTCAATACAATCACTTCGATGGTATCTAAACCCCCGATCTTCCCAATACCACTGTCCCCAAATCCAAACTAATTCCTCAAAAAAACCACGACACCCGAGATAGACATCGTCTTAGCGGAAAAACGAACGAAAGATCCACATTATAGAAAAGCCAATATCTTCGAGGGGGGCTGGGTGTCGAAATACAAAATGTCGAGGAATACTCGAGTCCATGTGAGGAGAAGGGATGGAGCAGTTATGATTTAGCGGCTCGTAAACGCGGCACAACTGTGATATACGCGTGCGTGATATTGGTGGCCGGCAGCTGTCCCGTTCCAGTAAAGGGGAGGCTTCCTGGAAAACGGAACTCTGTGAACAGGAGAGACACGCTCGCCAGAGATAGACCTAGAAGAATCGGTGGAAAAGGGGGTGGTCGAAAGAAGGGTTCACGGGGTCTGGGGTATGGGGATGGCGATATTGTCTCGAGGCGCGGTGTGACTCCGCGTGTCGGGACAATGCTACTTTAAAATATATTGTCGAAAGTATAAAAGGGGGTAGGAGGGAGGAAGGGTGTGTGTGTGTGTGCACCGCGTAACGTCGACGGAATAGAAAAGGGTGAGAGGAGGGAAAAGAGTGTGAGCATGCGTGAAGCCGGATAGAGGGTGTCGCGCCACTTGTCGCGAGGACACACGTGTCGCAACGGTATTGAAGTTGGTAAAGGGTGACTGTCTCTCTTTCTCGATGCCCGTGCCACCATATACGCGCGCCAGTTTCCTATTTCCCCGTGTGTATGGACGGTTCTTCTCTATACCCAACGGCTGACTTTCGCCCACCTATAGCGGGGGACTTTAAAGTGAAATAAATTAGAGCCGATGCTCTCGCCCCCGAGTGACTCTTTCTCTCACCCTCGCGCATCCCCGAACTTCGAAAGGGGGCGAGTCGCGGTCTCTCTCTTTTCGACTGGATAACGACGAACTCGGTGGCCGACTACGATCGTGGTTTCGACGCATTTGTCACCGTGTTTAATGCGGAGCGCGATGTGTCAGTGCGAAGATGGTATTTATAAACTTTTGTATTTTTTATTTGCAACAACTGGTATTTACTTCTTTTTGAAGATCAGTATTTTAGAGATTCATTTTCCGGTACACACTCCCGTTTATATATATTTGGACACTTATCGTGTATGATGTAGCACGTGACCCTTTTCCACTGAGCCCATCAATTGTTGAAGGTCTGAAATAAATATTGTCTAGGGAATCTTAAAGCTCGATGGACAACAGTTACACTAACATAAACTAGTTGAAGTGGCCCAAAATGTGTAATATTTATGAAACATCACATTTTCTTCATACAGGCCTGTCCTGATACTTATGAACGACAGTGTACGTGCTCTTCTCTCGGTGCGTCTTTTCTTTCGTGAGTACCGGTTCACCGTCGTAGCCCGAGTTTGCACTTTGCATACGATATATATATTTCAAGGTCGCTCAATTTTCGTACCCAGCGTACAACTCGACCACCGGGATCGATCTTTCCCCCAACCCCCCCCCCCCCCCCCCCGATCGGAGATTAAGTCCTCGGAACCTGTGTCGATTTAACATCCTGCGATGTAATGGCGGATTGAGTAACGGAATGAAAATTGAGGAATTAACGCCCGTTCACGTTCGAAGGTAATCCAGGTGTTTTGCTGTAATCGAACTCTCGAGTCTTTTAGTTGTCTGTCGTCTTATCCTCGAGGAATTTAAAATAATCAAAGGAGTAATGATAAAAGTTGTTGATAAACACGTCTAGTCGATGCCTGGATGCTATAATAAAGTAATCATTAAGGTGTCGCTGCCAAATTAATTGACGTTTATCTACATACACTGATGGTAAAACAAGATTTTGTTGTATCGCGGCACTTTCTGCCCTTTTCCCCAAGAATCTAAAAATCAAGAATATCAGAACCGGTCCACGGCGCTATTAACGTATTCACCGCGGTGTCGGTCACCGGTGACCGTCCTGCAATACAGATTTCACCTTTGAAACGTGTTTCGTAACGAAATTAATAGGACGAACAATGTCAAATATCTTAAAAATATTATTTCCAACGTAATAGAACCATTCATGAAGTCAATTTCTGCTTATGTCTGGTTTTCCAAAATTTATCTCCAAAAGTTTGAATTCGCATAAACATCGACAGTCTAACAATTATAGTATACTATGATGTACAGTACATCGACTAACAACGCTACTGTTGTGACGTAGATCCCTCTGGATCCCTCAATTTCTCTATGATTGAAAAAATCCGAAATCCCTGAACCTACAAAGAAAACATTTCACAATACCGTAACCCTTTCGCGAACAACAACGGGTAACTATTCTCCGCCAATAAACATTACCGAAAGGTCGATCGGTTGCCCATAAAACGTCACCGGTACTATAGTTGATTAATTACCAGAACGAGCGTAGAACAAGCCGAAAAGTGACGCGTCGCCCGGCGTGTGTCCACCGTAAAGAAGGATTACACCACCGGTGCCCGTACGTCCTCTGACAATGTAATCCCTCATCGTGCTCTAATAACACGTTCTTCGTCCCGTATATAACACCGTGGCACACGCAGGATCCCCGTGTCCCCTGTACATATAACGCCGCGACATGCAATTACGATGCAAACGATACGAAGCGAACGTCTTCGCGAATAGGTACACATATACATATACACTTTGGCACCGAATGACGTTGGAAACGTGTGTGTACAAAGGAAAGAATCGAATTGTGTGGACGTTAAGGACGTATCGGACCTACCTTCAAAATAGTACGAAGAAAATAGAAATGTGAGATTGTTCTTTTAACCTTTTAAAAGCCAGACCCTTAAATCGGTATTTGAAAATTATGAGACGGATATACAGGGTGTCTCAAGGTGACCTTGAAATCTCTGAAGTGCCTCCAACCACAAAAAGGCACGTACCTTATAAGGTGTGCCCCTTGATTCCATTTAAGTTCCACGTCTCAAATTTTTATACAGTGTACCGTTAAGTCGTTGTTCCAGGTGATCAAGTTAGCTGAGACACCCTATATGTGTTGTATTACTCGTTATTTTGAAGTCGAAAACATCGATATTAAACGGACCTATTTTTTTTTCATTTATTTTTGGAGGGAATACTGGAAACTGTCAACTGAAAACGTGGAGATCTACTTCACATCGGTGAAACTAGGGATCCTTACTGATAAAAGTTATTAACCGGCAACAGAATTTGACGCATTTTTAAAATTAATTGGGCGTTAAAGGGTTAAGGACACTTCTAGCTATCGTTACACGTATATCTATGTGAAAAAAACCGCAAATAATGCTGGATGAAACATTTGTAATGTGAGAAATACTTTTCTACGTGCAAAAATAGAACACTAAGTTTCGTTTCAGTTCCTTAATAATAAATTGTTTCAAATTTTATGTACTTTTGATTAAGATTGTACCTCCGACACATCCTTAACGGCGCGAAATGCCGGTGGAATCGATGGGACACGCGAAATCGTCACGAGACAGAGTGAATTATCGAAATATCGGCGGAACGTTATCTTGTAATTAGTATCGGGGGACGGCAGGTGAGAGAGAGTGTCCGCTTTTCCTTTCGTGCTCGCCACTGAAACATCTGCTCTCTATCTTTCTCTCTGCTGGTCGCTTTTTTTACCGTGTGTATCGACAATAACGTGACCATTTTAAGAAATGTGCAAGACCAGAGAAAGATGCCCAATAACGCCTATAAATTAATAATTCCGCAGATCGATGTTAAGATTCGAATCTTTTGAATTACACTTGGCCCATTGAGGACACACGGCGGCTGTTGGGGCTTCATGGCTCCGTGGAGAATTTCGTGTCTGAGAAGTGTGACGTATGTAAAAGTAATAGCCATTTATAGTAGCAATACTATGACTTCATTGCAGAGGAAGGAAATTGAAAGAAAGATAACAAAATAATTAATCAATAACACAATTAGCTAAAATTTCCGTCAGTAGGGCAGTCGAATTTCCGCTAAGCCTCCAGTTTCTTCTACATAAGACTTTTCCAAAATGGTACAACCTGAAAGAATGTGAATCTACATTCAAAAATACATAAAAATGTAGACTAATATTTTTTGTACAACGCTTCGTTCGAATATCAGAATCCATTTCACGCGTATGCCATTCACAGTAACAATAAGTAAAAACAAAAGATCTTCAAACTCGATTATCTCGAAAAGGAAGCTCATACAAAAACATGTTATTCTACATTTTTTACTTATTCTCCCACATCGAATCATACATTCTTTCAAACTACACCCATCATTTTGGAAACATCCTGTATGACCAATAAACACAGTTTCCCGAATATCGTCGACGATTCGTGGGGAAAATATCGCGGGAAAGCCAGTGAGCTCCAGGAAAAAATAGAAGTCGTGAAGATAGGTAACGGTTTGAATCCGTTGAAACCGCAGTAGCGACGGCGCAACAGCCGGATGAAAGTCGGAAAGTTCATATGCGTGCGTCGATCCATCGTCGGCACGCAAGGTTCGTTTTCGCGGCATCGCGTTTCAATCTCTTACCTGTGCACGCATACACACAGATAAACACACACATAGACACACATAAAACACATACGGTCCCTACCTCCCCTCGAGATAATATTGTTGTCGCGGAAATGCGAATTCGCACGCTCCGAGTGATATTCATAATAGGAGCCCCATTAATTCCTCATTGTCCCCGTGACTCCATCCAAAGACGACGAGCGGTTTTTCTTCCTTTTCACCTGTTTTCCATGGTCCCTTCCGTGGTTCCGCTGTCAAAAGATACATATACACAGTACGTGAGCGTGGGGAGGCAACGATAAGACGCCGATGAAGAGATTCAATTCGCCTCGTTATTTGTTACGTTAGTTCTTTTTTTTTTCCCCCAGTCGTTAACGATCGAACCCTCTGTTCTTAGTCGCATGGGAGAATCGAGAGACGGGTGAATAATGATCTTACGATCAATTTTTCCAGGGATACACGCCGCTGCACATCGCGATGCAGTTCGACCACGAGAATATCTTCAATCTTCTAGTCCAAGTATACGGTGAGTCGGGTGACTGCGTGCGTTCTGTGATACGTACTTAATATTGAGATTATTCAACGTGTGTTTTGCCTTTATTAGCTTATTTTATGATTTCATCAGTTTTAGGAATAGTCCACGTAGATTCTATATTACATTTGTGATATTAACGCCAGAACTACCAAGCAAGTCGAAATGACTTATCGGTTCATTCTTGTGACGATATTTATAATTTTATATCATAAAATTTTCCCAGATCTTTCGCAACTTTTATTACGATATAAAATTGAAGAAGTTGGTTAATTTTTAATTCTGTAAATTTTCAATGTTTTTTGTCATGTTTATCGACCGATTAGAATTGATATGCGTTTATCGTTGGTAGTTCTAATGTTAAGATACGATGGCAAAACGTGTGCCGTGTATATTGCCTTACAAGCACGTTTAGGCAGACGACTAGAAATCCTTTCCTACGTTGAACTTATAGGCGCGAATCAAGAGATCCGTGACTACAGCGGGAAAAAGGCGAGACAATATCTGGTCTCACAGGAGGCCGCTGTCAGTCAGGACACCTTCCGCAGTAAGTACAGTTTCATTTCAATTTCAACCACAGTTTTACTGTCGTAAATGGAAAATAATCAACGAATCACCGCTATAAGCTTCATATAACCGATAAATCGTACTACAGCTCACAACTAGCGAGGGGACCAAGTTGAAGACGTAAGCACTCGCAAGAATATCAGTATTTTGTAAATTTCTAATCATCTCGCTGAGAAAATGAGTTTCCATTTAATTCTAATTATCAGATATTCACTGCGGAAGTTTATGAAATTCACAGTCACAAATACCTAATATCAAAAAATAGAAAATAACAGAATTTTAGATTCTAGATTTATTACGTTCGTAATAACACATGAATAGTATTAAACTACATTGATATCTTGATTTTATTGCATTTTCCCAGAGGTGTTATAAATGCCTAAACATCCGCAGTCTAATCAGAAATTACTTCATGAAAATTTAATTTTCCAGTAGACATCTATCGATAACGATCGTTTCTATCCTGCAAACTATTCATAGAACCTCCAATGGATGACGTCAGCGGTTCTAGATGCGCTTGTTCCCCGTTGCTAATTGAAACACGCGATCGACATAATGACAGAAACGGCTGTAAATAAGCCGCCGCGTAAAAGGTTTCCCAATATTTACGCAACTCGATCGTTAAGCAAATTACTCTACGTCGCTGTATTTCTAATTCCCCCCTCTCTGTCTCTGTTTCACGGGGAGGGATGGTGCATGTTACAGAAGAGAATCATTGTCTCCCCGTTATCGTTCGTGCGATCGGTCGCGCGCGGTACCATTAATTTTGCATTAATCGCGCGCCGCTGCGACCCTGAGAAAAACCGAGGGACGTGCATTTAAACGGATCCGACAATACCATTGTCGCCCGAACGGCTCGGCGATTATGGTTACGTAAACGTTAAGAGGCGAACACACATTGCGAACCCCGTTGGGGAAAGTTCTGTTCCCTGTGTGCCTCTCGTAATCCGAACCAGGGGGGTGGGGATATCCTTCGTGTCGTTGAGAGGTAATTTTTCAACCAAATGAAATTCACACCGAAATATTGTTCACGTACGCCAATCGGAGATCGACTTCTAGTCTAGAACAGAATATAGAAGTCTGTGATCGGAGATCAAATCTAACGATTAAGGAAGAAGGAAAACGGTTATTTTACAAAAATTTAAAGAATGTATCAAAGTTACCATGTGAATCTCGTGTCTGTCCATTGCTAGTGAATTACGTTGGAAAATCAAATGACCAAACATCGTTCGTACGTGTAGTTTTCAAATTCTATGCAGCGTAGATACATGATAGATACCACAAAGTTTACATACTATGATTTAGTATAAATCGGTAGACCTGCAAGGATTTGATTGATTGGAAAAAGGAATATCAATGTGCTTCTTCTAAGTAGAAATAGCGAGTAATAGACAGACACGCGTTCCGTCGTATTCGTAAGTCGAAAACGAGAATTCTTCGTATAACTGTTGATACCGCATATTTTCTTAAATCACTGTAAAATAATAATCTACCTTTTCCGTTAATCTGATAACCGGGGCAGACTTAGAGATGAACAAGAACCTAGAAAATATTAGAATACATTTAAATGCTGAAATCTTCAAATCAATATACAATTAATTTTCAAACAAGCGAACTTCCCGATTAACAGGTTTAATTCCGAAACCTGGTCTCCAGTCTTCGTTCAACTGTATAAGGCCCCGAAAAACCGTCGAAAATATAGTAAAATATTTCTCTGTAAATCTAAAGAAAAAAAAACAGAAGCTTCTTTTTACACAGAAAAATAATACTCTAAAATCGCCAGCGGTAATTATTCCGTCGAGCACTCGTGCACAGAAAAACAAAATGAAGAATCGTTTGTTCGATACCGTTCGAGGAAAGGGTTGCACGACAATCGACGCGATAAATTAGACCGGGGATGGGGGTTTGTACCGTGGCGGTCGGGTAAAATCGATGCTCAATCGGCACGATAAAGCAATTATAAGTTACGATCCCAAGGTACACCGCGCAGTCTGCACCGCTTTCATACGCTTCGGCTCTTGTGCCCCACCAGCCTTTATCGTCTTTCCTTTGCTTACTTTGCGCTATCGGCTTTCCTCTGATGTTACGGGCGGCGAGCAGTTCATCCCGAACGAAACCCGCTTGCCCGTGTCCCCGGCCCCCCTTACTCTGTTCCCCGCTTCCTGGTTCCCAGATTTTTCCGACGGTCAAGAGAGCATGCTTCCCGCGCGACCCGATCCACATTAACTCATTCCGACTGCTTCTAATGCGCCAGAGTGAATCCGCTGCTCGTAACGAGTACATCACCTGGATTGATCGCGAGTGATCCAGAGAAATTTCACTGTGAGATCAACTTGGTTAGTCTGCACGATTTTATTCTAGTTTGGGACTAAACACATTGCGCGCGGATAATAATAATTAATATCCGGAAATAAATATTGTGGTAGCTCGTTGAATGGATACTGATGCAAATGTTATGTCAATAGACGGGAAAGAATAATAGTAAGATTGTTTGAGTGTTAGATATTGTCTATCCACGTACAGCTGGTGCTCCTACTGCACGTGCCCAGACGATAGGAATTGGGAGGTCTGTCAAAAGTACTCTCTTTCTCTACCATTCGACATCTACACTGCTCGAAACCAGTTAGGGGATCACTATCATGGGCAGTCTTGTCGCGACAACCGAACGTAAGAAACAAGAGAAGTTTCGTTTTTGTACAAACATTTTTATAGGAGATATATGTTACAACGACGGCCACAGTGGCTGCATTAGATGATGATCCTCTAATTGTTTCGAGCAGTGTCCGTACGAAACGTTACCGTCAGAGGCTGTCTGAGCTACCATTGCACACCAAAGCTAACCCTCTAGGTAAAGCAGACTAAGTTTATCCTATTATGGCACCTGAGATGCTAAGCTGACATCCGAAAGTTCCTCTAGTCTTCACCTCTCCTGGTGACTTCCTGTACTATCTGCAGTGCTCGTTCAGACCATGCGCAATGTGTTAAGATTAGACATCGAGTCCCTTGATAAAGCACCATAACCTTCTATCACTACCAGATCTTTATACAACACCAGATTTCCATTATGTAAAATTACAATGAAAACCAGTTCCCACCTAGACCATAGGAAGTTAACTTCTATTTTCCAACGTAGTCGATCCTCTTCAACATTTCCTGCAAGCATGAACAGAGATCTATCGAAAACAATTTAAACTCCTGCCTGTCAGAGCAAGATTATCATCCAAACAAAACGATCAAAAGCTAAGATCCTATCATCTTCTAGAGCTCTAGAATACTGAACGCTCTCATTCAGCATGTTCTCTCCAATTTCACGGTAAAGACACGTGTATTCGCTCACGAATCCCGGCGAATACCAGCAGCATGTGTCGGCAAGCTTGAATCCTCCCCAACAGGCAACGAACTAAGGTGTCCAGGTGGTTTCGTGGAAACAAGGACGCGGTTAATATAGGAGACGATGGATTAAGTGGTTACGGTTGGGTGAAAATGGAACGTGGTTCTCGCCTCTTTCTCTCTCTTTCTCTCTCTCTCTCCTTTCTCTCTGTCTGTTCTCTCGGTGAGTATCGGGGCTCTGGAAGTATTCTTCTGTTGTAGGGATTACTGCTGCCGCTACGCACAGGCAAGTTCAGAAGCACACCTCTGCTAAAGTAGTAAAGCGCTTGTGTCGCAAGATTAAAGTAGCCGCACCCTAAAACGTAACGTATGACTGTCACTTGTGTCGACGCTGACGTGAGTATTCTATGGAGAATCGCGGGTCCACACCGTCCGATCGTCTTGCACGCCATCTTGTGGTTTGAGTCGCGGCGGCCATCTTGATTCTGGCCGGCGGCAGCCATTTTGTTGTCGGGTTGTTGCACGCAACATGGCGGATTTTCACAGCGAAACTCGGAAACGCGCGACGTCAGATCTTTCTAGTCGCTTTAGCAACGAATAGTACCACTTAAGATTTTCAAGAAATTTGATTGACACCGAAATTTGGCAGATATTTTGTTACTGAAATGGATTTTAAACGATCCAAGGCGTTTTAGGATGTTATTCGGACTTCGCGTGAGACCGTCGGCGAGCTTAGAGAGAAAGTGTACTCAAAAATTCATACTATCACTTTCTTATTTTATGTCGTTTTGTTGAATGAGTCATTTATAAGGAACTAGTTTGAGTTAAAAAAAGACTCCAATGTATGAGTTCATCCGAGGAAGATCCTATTTTATTTCAAACAATTTGAAGCGATTGGGTATGTCCATTAATGATCGAAAATATAATTACGCATTTTTCCTTACAATTTATATTCACAAAGTCATAAAGATGCTACCTGTTAATCTATAAAATTTGCCGTTTCGTATGCAACAACCGCGTTATTTATTTATTACTCGTTTCGCGCGCTCGTGGACCCGTTCATTCCCGATAATTGGAAAAGAACTGTGTACGTCTTGTATTTGTGATCTTCGCTTGATCAAGCCTTAAAAAAAACCGGTGCTTTTGTGACGCTCTCCGTGTTGTCAATTATTGTCAGAGCTTTGTAAAACGAAGACGCACGGAGTGTCTTTCCTGTGATCGACAATTGTTCTTGTTGAGTAACATGCGTGTCCTCGTGTCTAATCGGCAATCGGTCGGAAATCGATACTCGAAAACGAACTTCTTAATTCTGGTAACATAGAAACGATCTATTGTGACAAATTAGAACACAACCACGTGACACACGAGTGTTCGGAAAAGATCGAATAAACATCACGATGAAGTTTTACGGACTCGAAGTGGCAGTAGTACCTAGAGACTAGTACCCAGCACCGTAACAAATGTGATTTAACCCTCTGGCTGACGATTTGACGGAGCCTTCTCGATGATCTGGCATTGTAAATGGACTCACGGAATACGGGTCAACGTGAACTTAATTAAAAGAATTGAATCATGTGGATGAATGTACGAGTTACTGTATACGGAAGTGTTTTTGATGTGAAAAATTCTGCTTAAATCAAAGGAAAGTGAATTGACTACTGAAGATCACTATGTATGAAGACTATTTTTTTTTTTTACCATATCTGTTAAGTGGCCCAATCAGTGTACTGCTCCTAATTTTTTAACAGAGGAGATACTTTCTAATAATATAACAGCTCATGTAAAATAAAATGAAAAATTAGTAAATAGGAATTTTTACCTGTCACAATTAATAGTGGAGGAAGGTAATCTCGAGTGGTCAATTAATTTTGTCCCAAGTACAATAATTGAAATGTGTTGTCGCTTTCGAGAGAAAATCGAAAAATTAAAATTACGGCTCCTTCGCATCGCCAACTGATAATAATCGTCCGTATTATTTCTGTTACCACTGTTACATGATAATAAAGCATGTGTAATGTAAGCATGAGAAAAAGCACATTCGGCACCGACCAAAAATCCCTAACTTCTGTTTATCTGTCTCTAAGTACAGTAACTCGAAAAAAGGGGGATCAATTTCTCGATTAACACACCTTGATGCACACACCCTAGGATCGCTGGATCAGACTCTACCTTAATTTTTCACCGATGACTACACTCTTCGCGAGAATCGACGTTCGCTGAAGGATTCGAAACCTTTGCGGTCGTTCGCGCGATTTCGATGCTCGGGATAACAAGAACTGTTTACTTTAACCAGATTAACATTCTCCGTTATATTCTCTTTCTCTGAACAGATCGTCCAGGACGACGAGTTTAACGTTTCGTTGATGGGAGAGCGCATCGATGCCTGATACACTTGTTTTCGTGAAAAGCATTCTGCTGAATGCCATTTACAGGCCATTTGAATATTCAGTAACTTTTCTTATCGTTCTGGTTAATTCCCAATGTTTTTTTAGAATCCAGAAAAACATGAATTGTTAAGTGTACTGACGAGTAATCCTCTATTTCATGAAAAATTAATACTCGACAGTAAATACAGTGACTCACAAGTTTGTCCACGAAAGGCTGTCACTTCTATTTAACCAAATTCTTTACCTAAATACTAATTTTATTTCAAAATTAATAAAAATTTGTCATAAACGGATAATGAAAGTAATAATGAGGAGAATATATAAGTAGAAATTGCATAAAACTTTTGACATCTAATCGTTATTTCAGAAATTTGTGAACGAATGTGTGATTCACTGTACACTGTAAAGAAATTCATAGCCTACCATCTATTATTGAAATAATATTCCCTTTCAATAGTCACTATATAATTATTTGAATGATCATTGTACAAATATCACCATTTCTTCGTGTCGTGAAAATTTTCTCTCGCCTACCACGAAGCTTTCCGCTCGAAACATTTTTGCGAACAATTTATCTACGTTCATTTTTTTATTTTTAAATAATTTACCTTATGCCTAATTTTCTTATATGTATATCTAAGTGTCGCTCAGCATCGACCGCTCGAACTATTTCTACTTGTTATTAACCAATAGCGACGAGTCTTCGACTCAGCAAGGACAGTCGCTCTAACAAATCTAATACTCTAACCAAAGAGGAACTTGATTAACCGTCTCACCTGAATCCTCGACGATACTAAAACTAATTCTTACGTGCTCACCTGCGATGCCAAGCGGGATTGCGACACCGTGGAGACAGTCTCAAATGATTTTCTATTTTATTTCAGAAATAAAAGCAAGGAAAAAGCATGCAGGTAAGACGTAATAAGCATGGAGCGAGTATACGCTAATTTACAAAAATGCCTAGATGTTTAGTGCATGGTCGGTAAAACCTATATATGCTGGTGAAAATCTAGAAACTCCCGCAACTATCTATACCTCTCTTTTTGTTCGCGGAATCCGACACGGTGAAACGAGATCGGAGAAAATTTTAATATATAAATTCGATTGATTTCTAGGTGACGTGGGCCTCGAACATTCTCATTCACTTCTTATAATCTTTAAAGTTATTCTGAACAATTGGAATGGAGCAGACAATATTTTCTAAACTGAAATTCCTAGATGAAATTATTAAAACTGTCAATTTACGAATTTTCTTTACGCTCTGTTCCAGTTATTGGAATCACCTCGGAATATTGCTAAATATTCTACACTTTATATAAACTTCTAGCGAGTCTTATTCTCCCTATCGGTAATACAAATTTTCATCCTTCCTGTGTACATACCTGGTACTTATAGGTGAAGTTTCTAGACCTTTTTCCTTATTAAAATGGATCTGTTCTTCACCCAGAACCTCTTTCTATCTCCTATTTACCGTCACCTTTTTATTATTTATCTATAGCAAACTATAAAAATTCTCATTGTAACCTCACGGTGCAGGGTAGTCAGGGTGCATAGTTGATGGACAAGATATAGTGACCTCGTAAAAATGTTCTGAGACGACTCTATTTGTTCGTGTAAAATTTAATATATGTTGATCTCAAAAGTCATACAGGACTATAGAAAATGTGTCAGCTTTTTAATCTCTATTAGTTCCAATGGGAGAATCATTGTCCCTGAAATGGGATTTTGATCCCTGAGGAACTACCTTTACAAGATCGCTCGATCTTCTGCATTAACTGTAAAAATGAATCATGACCTTCCTTATATCCTTACCGTTCCCAATACTTCTATTTCTATTCTACCTTCTCCAAAAACTCAACATCCGTAACCCCACTTCCGGTCTCCTATACCAGATGCATGTGACACAGTCTCCTAAACACCAACAAATGTACACCAACATTCGATGGAGCAATGGATTCCGCAGAGTCGCGTTATTCTACAGGGCGTCCTGTAATCAGTACTACTCCCGAATTAGGAACAAAAAAAAAGTGCAAAGAATGAAATAAAATTCTTACTTGTGAAACTTCGTTCTCCAGAAAATGATACTTCATGATTCGCCTAATATCCGTGCACCTGTGTGTCTGACTATTACTCGCCACATCTACTTCTATTAATATTTCTAGACATTTATATTTCACAACAACTCGACGCAAGTTACCAGCTGTAAGTAGTAAATAATTTATACCTAGCCAATATGCTTGTTACAAGTGAAACTAGTAAGTAACAGACAGACATATCATTCCTGTTCATAAGTATTACGACACTTATCGAATATGCGATACAGTAAACTCTAGATAACTGACCGAAAGGATCCCTACATTAAATAAGCCCCCTATTATATAAATTAATATATCCCTACATACATCCCTACCACAGGAGGGTTCCAAGCAGGAAGCTAGACCCAAAATACAATTCACGAAATTACAATTCATGAAGTGCAGAAATCGTGTCCCTCTACGATAACTGCCCCAAAGTAGTCCCTAGTATCGAGCATTAATCAATCATTTACTGTAAATATTTACAATCCATTACAAAATTGCCGAAAGTCCGAAATAAATATTGTCTAGGGGATATTGAAGCTCAATGGATAACGCTTATGCTACTATGAAATAAACACCGTGACCTAAAATATAATTTTTATGTAAAATCACATTTTTATCGTACAAACCAGGTGTCCTAATACTTACGGGCGGTATATCATTCTCTGAAAGAAAACGAAGTCGCGTATTGTCATATTTCTGTCATTCTACCTTCTCAAATTACTTTTCGAACACAGTGTCGCAATCTATCCTCCTCGATTTTACTGTTAAATTTCGGGACACCCTGTGCAAAAGGCGCACGCGATCGCCGGATGCCACGGCTCTATCGGGGGGGGGGGGGGGACAAAACAGACACACACGGATGGCTTGTCATGTGTCGCGGCGTGAACAATCGCCCGCGGTGATTCTTTGCCCAGACGACGGTAACACAGATCATTCGTTGAACATACAGAGAAAGATCTTGGTTTCCTGCGAATTGGCTCGCTGAACGTACGCGTGAAACGTACGACGGAAGCGTTCAGCCAGTTTCTGGGTGTGGCAACTAGCAGTGCCAGCAGCAACCACGAGAAGATACACAAGAGCTGGGGATCCGCGGATAATGTGCAGGTAGAGATAGCCGGTGTGGCAGCGTGCGTTTCGCCGCTGAAATTGCCGTCGATACACACACACGGGGGCCCCCCCGTTTCTTTGACCCTCTATAATTATTCCAACCCCTGGACGACGACCGGTCGGATATTATGGGACCGAATACGCGAACACGTTTTTAATGTTAACGCGCGCAGGACTTTTCTCGTGAGTATAAGATGCTGAACGAATTACCGTCTTTGTATAAAAAAAAAAAAAGAAAGAAAGCAACGAAGACTTCGTCGTACGCTTTTAATCGAAAATCGTTGCTTTCCCTCGATCGATTAAGTCGGTAGGATGGACTTTGTACTCCTGATGAAAGAGACACTCTCTCGTTGGAAGGAGCACGGTGTGGTCGTTGAGCTGATTGGAGGGGCCAAAGTACTCATTTGAACAGTGGACTAAAGAGACCGATAGGAGTAACGGGGTGGTTGGGTCTTGGACCTCGTTGAGGGTTGTACGGAACTATTCGAACTCTGGTTTAGTTCAGCTTTTTAAATCAACGTTAATGACTGCTCGAACGAAGGGACGAAACTCTAACGTTACGAATACTAATTAAAGTCTTTTGTGTGGAAATCTTCTGGTCAAGGAATGTGGGTATTAATTTGACTTAGATTCATTAGCATAAATACTTATTACAGTATACATTCCCTCGCTCCGAATTAAATATATCAACTTGGATTTTCTTCTTATTCTCTTTCACCTGAAACTTCGTCCTCCCAACTGAATTATAGATTAGGAACCTGTATTACTGTGATCTTATTATAAACGTCGTCCAGGGGTCGCAAGTGCCCATTCCCCAGCCCTCTAAAATTAGTTTTCTCGTTCCATCAAAGTTGGAGCAGAAAATGATGCCACCACCGAAATACGCGCCCATCAAGAAGAGAAGGAGTCGAAGAGGCGGCCAGGATTTCGGGTCGTCGCGGGACCAACACGCGGCCAGTCAACCGAGCACTCCATTGTTACAAGGAAAGTTATCCAGATCGAATACACATCGTCGACCGACTTCCACGACGGTCGTCACCTCTGTCAGATCGCAACAGAACAACGACTCGGACTCAGATACCGCCTGCGGCTTTGACTCTACGTGGCGGGGCTCCGCGCAATTATAAGCAAACTATTGCATATCTTTTACCGGTGGAAAGCGCAGAGGCTTCACTCAATCGGGATGTACAAGAGTGTGCAAACCTCCTTCCGTCATTGCTTGTTAATATAGTTGGAAATACAGGGTAGAATAATTTTTTATTTATGAATTTACGTTAAGAATGCTTATAAAGCAGTTGGTATCGTATCAACAGAACATAAAAAGACCTAATTGTCTTTCTGAGATCTTTTTATCTTTCTGTTCCAATGAAGTTTTTTAGTGTCACATTTGTAAGTGATTTGTTAAATTGTTATTGTTAGGAAAATTATTTCTAGAGTAATTCGTTTAAACGTCTATAATATTTATTCTGAATAACGATTAAAGGAATACAGTGTTTCGTTCGTCGATGGATGTTATATTTCAAGATGGCGGAAGGTGGTTCAAATGATTCTGAAGAGAGTAGTAGATCTACTTGTGGGATGGACTGACTGAGATAACACTCGTGATTTTGGAATGGTTGATTTTCAAAGGCAGTTCGCACAATATTTTTCCATTACCAGATTGTCAAAGAAACGATATTTTTCTACGTTGCTGTTACCGTAGCTTCTGTAAGTGCCTTATTTAACAGTCAGACGCGACGGTTTACGTTTACCCGTGTCGCTTTTCTACAAAGACCAAATACGTCCTTTCTCGTTGGACAGACAATGAGATTACGATTTTTCTATACAGGGTGTTCTATGCACAATTATTTTTTAAGATACCTTTACGCTTCGAATATTGAAGCGTTTAATGAAGACACAAGAGTAACGAAAAAGCAATTTTGTCTGTGGTATTTATCATGTTATCGATGGATGTACTAACTTTTTCATTGTAGATTTTCTAAATGAAATGTGTATATGATCCTACTGAGTAATAATAAAGGATTAATTAATTGTAGTAATATAACTATGGTTTGATCTTATCGTACCGTAACGTTATAGTCTGATCACAAACGAAGTAGAGGAGTGGACGTTTCATCCAAACTGTTATATATATCATGTGTGGTCTGATCAAATAATGTTAAGCACCATCTATACACGAATACTGGAAACTTCTGGTGGTGTGGTACCACCCACACCCACTACCAGGTGGTCGACTTGACCTAGCCCTCGAGGTTGTAACTTAAAGAACGTAGATTAACCCCATGTCATTGTTAATAACAGTAAACGACCAGATCACTGTTAAAACTGCATTTATTCGCGGAATAACGCTATTTTTTTCGACCGGTGGCACCATCCGCGGCAATTCGATCAAACTACTAGCCAAATCATACCGACAGGTGTGTGAAAATTCCTAGTGACAGAAAAATGCGAATATCTCAATAATTAAGTGCTCAAAAATAACATCATTAGTCTTAAATTGTTTCTGAGGAATTATTGCATCGACCCAATACTGCAGAAACCCAGAATTAGTAACATTATTTATTCCTGTTTTAACGTTGACCCCTGTGGAGCGGTAACCCTCATTGCACAGGTTCCGATCGCATTTACACCGCTGAACGGGCATCATTTTTCCTTGTCACGCATTAAATTCGAAGTTTCAAGAACGAAGATTAGTGTTTTCTAACGGCTGGGAACCAGAAATTACAAGAACATTGTTAAAATCACAATCGTTTGTAACGGTTGATACCGTATCTTGTCATGCGTACCCCGTTCAGTTCACTTTGGACAACTCTTTCAATGCTATGCTGACAGCTTTCGTATTGACCGAGCATTGAATTTGTAGCTGGAAGAACGTAGATTAATCCTCTGTGATTAATAATAACAATAAACGACCAGAACATTGTTAAAATCGTATTTAATCGCAGAATACCACTATTTTTTTCGACCGATAGCGCCACCCGCGGCAATTCGCTCAAACTACTCGCTAAATCATACCGACAGGTGATTGAAAATTGTTAATAATGGAAAAATGCGAATATCTCAGTAATGAAGCGCTCAAAAGGGACGCCGTTAATCTCAAATTATTTCTGAGGACTTAATGCATCAATCCAATACTACAAAACCCCAGAATTAGTAAAACTATATACTGGTTGACACTGTATCTCCTCATGCGTACCCCGTTTAGTTCACTTTGGACACAGACGAGATATATGAATAGACCTATGTAACATGCAATGTAATTTTCTGTCCCATGCTTCGAGGGTGTCAGAAGCCCCCTTACCATTTTAGTGTCAATACCCGACGTTACCGATAAAGCATGAATTCTGCGTATTATTAGCACAAATGAAGTGTTATTCCATTCATATTGTGTGTATCTATATGATTTGACGGGAATAAAAATATCCGATGCTTCAGTTTAAGGTTAAGGAATAAATATGACAGTCATAAAACATGAAACGGAAAAGTATATATGTTTTCACTTAAGTACAAGACAATTTATTCTAAATGCATCGTTAATGGATTTCATTCGTTTTTATATCTTGCCTTACATTTGTATATTTGTAACAGATAAATTCAGAATAGATGTAGTTTCATAAGTAGTTTATCAAATCTACCTTTTGGCCGTTGCGGGAATGTCTTACCGTAATGAGCCATCTCGTGGCCGCGGGATTCCGGGAATCGGGTGACGTCACGGCGTGCGAGCGAGAGCGGTAGAGCGAGCCGCGG